ACCCACTACCTTGAGACGTCCACTATCCACGCCCACGCCCACTATCCACACCTACTACCCACGCCCACACCCACTACTACTAGAGACGCCCACTATCCTCGCCCACGCCCACTACCCACTATCTACTACTTGAGACGCCCACTATCCACGCCCACACCTACTACCCACTACCTAGAGACGCCACGCCCACTATCCACTACCTTTGCCCACACCTACTACCGACTACCTTGAGACGCCCACGCCCACTACCCATGCCCACTATCCACGCCCACACCTACTACCCACTACCTTGAGACGCCCACTATCCACGCCAACACCTACCACTGACTATCTTGAGACGCCCACACCTACTACCCACGCCCAAACCTACTACCCACTACTTTGAGACGCCCACTATCCACGCCCTCACCTACTATCTACTACCCACTACCTAGAGACGCCTACTATCCACGCCCACGTCCACACCCACTACCCACACCTACTACCCACTACCTAGAGATGAGGACGCCCACTATCCACGCCCACGCCCACGCCCACAACCCACGCCCACGCCCACCACCCACTACCTAGAGATGAGGACCCCACTATCCACGCCCACCACCCACTACCTAGAGATGAGGACGCCCCCGTTGCTATGGACCTCGAGGTGCTTCAGTAGGTTATCCTGCCTGGAGTACGAGGCGGAGCACTGGTCGCACTTGTGGCGCCGGTCCGCGCCGTGGGCCTCCTGGGGGGAGAGGAGAGAGGGGGGTGAGAGGGGGTGAGGAGAGAGAGGGGGGGGTGAGAGGGGGGTAAGAGGGGGTGGAGGAGAGAAGAGGGGGTGGGGGGTGAGAGGGAGGGGGGAGAGAGAGGGGGTGGTGAGAGGGAGGAGAGGGGTTGAGGAGAGAGAGAGGGGGTGAGAGGGGAGGGGAGTGAGAGGGAGGGGGTGAAAGAGAGGAGAGGGGGGGGTGAGAGGGAGGGGTGAGAGGAGAGAGGGGGAGGGGGTGAGAGGGAGGGGAGGGAGAGGGAGGGGATGAGAGGAGGGAGGAGAGAGGGGAGAGGAAAGGGGGGGGGGAGAAAAAGAAGAGGGAAGAAGGGGGACAGGAAGGGATGGAAGATAGGAAGATGGGAAGAAGAAAGAGGGAAGAGAGAGAGAGAGGGAGAGAGGGAAAAGGAGACAGGGAGAGAGAGAAGGGGGAATGGGGAAAGACGAAGACAAATAGGAGAGGAAAGAGAAGGAAGAGGGAAGATGAGAAGAGGAAAGAGAGAAAGAGAGAGGTGAAAGATGAAAGGGAAGGGAGAAGAAGAATGGGGAAAGACGAAGACAAAAAGAAAGAAAGAGAATTAGAGAGGAGAGGGAAGAGGAAAGATGGAAGGTAGAAGAGATGAAAGCGAGAGAGAGAAAAGAAGGGAAGAGAGAGAGAGCAAAGGAAGAGAAAGAGAAAAGGAGGGAAGCGAGAGAGAGAAAAGGAAGGAAGAGAGAGAGAGAAAAGGAAGGAAGAGAGAGAGAGAAAGAAAAGGAAGGAAGAGAGAGAGAGAGAGAGAAAATAGGGAAGCGAGAGAGAGAAAAGGAGGGAAGAGAGAGAGAAAAGGAGGGAAGAGAGAGAGAAAAAGAGGGAAGAGAGAGAAAGAGAAACAGAGAGAAGAGAGAGAAAGAGAAACAGAGAGAAAGAGAAACAGAGAGAAGAGAGAGAAGAGAAACAGAGAGAAGAGAAAAGAGAAAAAGAGAAAAAAGAGAACAAGAGAAACAGAGAGAAACAGAAAAACAGAGAGAAGAGAAAAACAGAAAAACAGAGAGAAGAGAAGAAAAAGAGAAAGAGAGAGAGAAGCACAGAAAGAGACAGAATACCACTCCTCCCTTTTGCAGCCAGCCTCTAACAACTCCCATTAATGACTGAACTACGAACATGCACATCACATCACACTCCCCACGACCTTGACTCACTATGCTGCCTTCCTCTGCTATTTGCTACAACGACCACTGCCACTAGTGCTAGCATTATTACTAGCTCTTACTAGCATTGTCATTAACACTACTTATAGAATGGTTATTATCATTAATGCTATTCTTATTACTAACTCTACTAGCATTATTATTATTATTACTATTACTAGCATTATTACCACCTTTTCTTCTGCCATTAATAGCATTATTATCATCATTACTACTAGCATTATTACTAGCCCTTACTAGCATTGTCATTAACACTACAAATAGAATAATTATTATCATTAATGCTATTCTTATTACTAACTCTACTAGCATTATTATTATTATTATTAATATTACTAGCATTATTACCACTTTTTCTTCTGCCATTAATAGCATTATTATCATCATTACTACTAGCATTATTACTAGCTCTTACTAGCCTTGTCATTAACACTACGTATAGAATGATTACTATCAGTACTGTTATTTTTATTGCTAACTCTACTAGCTACTTATTATTGTTACTAGCATTATAAACACCTTTTCTACTGCCATTAATAGCATTATCATCATCATTACTACTAGCATTATTACTAGCTTTTACTAGCCTTATCATTAACACTACATATAGAATGATTACTATCATTAATGCTATTTTTATTACTAACTCTACTAGCATTATTATTATTATCACTATTACTAGCATTATAAACACATATTCTTCTGCCATTAATAGCATTATTATCATCAGTACTAATAGCATTATTACTAATCCTTACCAGAATTATCATTACCAATACAAATAGAATAATTATCACTACTGCTATTTTATTAATACCTCTACTAGCAACTTATCACTATTACTAGCATTATTACCACCTTTTCTACTACCATTAATAGCATTATCATCATCAGAACTACTACCATTATCATCACCACTACTACCAGTATTATAACAACCTTTTATACTAGTACTATTACTAGCACTACTATTAGCATTATTAGTACCATTAATACTAGCATCATTACAACCACTTCTATTAGTACCATTACCACAACTACTAGCATTATAAATTTTTTCTACTAGTATTATTACTACTAGCTTTATTACCGTCACTTCTAGTATTGTTAGCAATATCATTATTTCTAACACTAGCACCAATACTGACACATCACTAGTGCCACAACCCCCACAACCACATTCACCACAACCCCCACAATAACCACCCAACTGCATTCACCACAACCACATTCACAATCCTCACAACCACAACCACATTCACCACAACCCCCCACCACACCACACTAACCACCCTACAACCACATTCACCACAACCCTACAACCACATTCACCACAACCCCGACAATCACATTCACAACCGCAACCACAACCACATTCACCACAACCCTATTCACCACAACCCCCACAATCACATTCACCACAACCACAACCACATTCACCACAACCCCACAACCACATTCACCCCAACCACAACAACTACATTCACCACAACCACATTCACTACAACCACAACCACATTCACAACCCCAACCACAACTCCACAACCCCAACCACATTCCACAACCCCCACAACCGCATTTACCACAACCCCAACCACATTCACTACAACCCCCACAACCACATTCACCCCAACCACAACTACATTCACAACCACATTCACTACAACCACAACCACATTCACAACCCCAACCACAACCCCCAGCCACATTCACCCCAACCACAACAACTACATTCACCAACCACATTCACTACAACCACAACCACATTCACAACCCCAACCACAACTCCACAACCCCAACCACATTCACTACAACCCCCACAACCGCATTTACCACAACCCCAACCACATTCACTACAATCCCCACAACCACATTCACCCCAACCACAACTACATTCACTACAACCACAACCACATTCACAACCCAAACCACAACCCCCACAACCATATTCACCAAAAGCCCCACAACCATATTCACCACAACCCCTACAACCACATTCACCAAAACCCCATTCACCCCAACCCCAACCACAACCACATTCACTACAACCCCCACAACCACATTCACCACAACCCTCCCCACCACCACCACCACACTAACCCCCCCACAACCCCCACAACCACCACAAACCCCCCCCCAGAACCACCACCACACTAACCACAACCTCCCACAACCACATTCACCACAACCCCCCCACCCACAACCACAACCCCCACCACATTAACCACAACCCCCCACAACCACATTCACCACAACCCCCACAACCGCATTCACCACAACCCCTGCCCCACCACCACCACAACCCCATCCCACCTCAACCACCACAACCCCCCACAACCACTGACCATATGCCTCTTGAGATGCCCCGATGTGGTGAAGGTCCCCCCACACTCCCAGCACTGGAAGAGGCGGTAGCGGTCACGTGGGGGCCCGCGCGGGGTCGACCCCTCCTTGGCGGGGTCACGGCGCTTCCTCTTGCTGTTGGAGGGAGGGGGAAGGGGGGAGGGTTGGGAGAGGGAGGGGGGGGAGGAGGAAGGAGGGGAAGGAGGGAAGGAGGAGGGGGAGGTGGGAAAGAGAAGGGGGAGGGAGATAGGGGGAAGTGGAGGGAGGGGGAGGGGAGGTGGAAGAGGGAGAAGGGAGAAGGGAGAAGGGAGGTGGGAGGGGGAGGTGGGGGGAGAGGGAGATGGGAGGGATAGGGAGGGAGAGCGAGGTGAGGGATGAGGGATGAGGTGAGTAGGGTGGGAGGGAGGAAGGGCCATAGGGAGGGTCAGGAGAGGGGGAGGACAAAATGGGGGAGGTCAGGAGAGGGATGGTAGAGAGGTTGAGGGAAAGATGGAGACAGAGGAGGAAAGGTAGACAGGTAGAAAAGGGGAGAGAGAGGAAAGACGAAAGAGGAGAAGAAGAAAGAAGAAAGAGGAAGGGGGATGGAGAAAAGAAAGAGGAAAGAGGAGGGAAGAGAAAGGGACGGAGGAAAGAGGAGAAAAGAAAGAGGTAAGAGAAAGGGGGATGGAGGAAAGAGGAGAGAAGAAAGAGGTAAAAGGAATTGGAATGGAGGAAAGAGGAGAGAGGAAAAGCGGAAAAGGAGAAAGAACAAGGAGGAGGAGAACGAGGAGGCACAGGAAGATGTGAAGAAAGATGGAAAAATAAAGTTCAAAACAAAGAAAAAGGGAAGGAAGAGAGAAAGAAAATAAAGGAAAGGAGAGGGAAAAAGAAGAGATTTGGATGAAAGGAGGGAATGAAAGAAGGAAAGGAGGAAGAAAAAAAAATGAAGGAGAAAAGGGAAGAAAGGGAGGTATAGAGACAAGGGAATAATTGAAAGGAGAAGGAGAAGGTAAACAGAGGAAGTGTGGGGGGGAGGGGGAGAAACAAATAAAAGGGAGTTAATGAGGGACTGATAAATTCATAAAAGAATAAATATTAAACAGTGTGATACTTATTACATAATTACACATATTGTATACATTCATATACATATATACATTCACGAACAAACCGATTGTATTCAAATCTATAACTATATCTCTCAATTAATATCTCAATGTCTATGCCTCAGTCTCTGTCTCTGTCTCTGTCTGTCTGTCTGTCTGTCTGTCTCTGTCTCTCTCTCTCTCTCTCTCTCTGTCTTTCTCTCTCTCTCTTTTCTTTCTGTCACTCTCTCTTTATCTCGCTCTCTCTTTTCTTTCTGTCACTCTCTCTCTTATCTCGCTCTCTCTTTTCTTTCTGTCACTCTGTTTTCTTTCTGTCACTCTGTTTTCTTTCTGTCACTCTCTTTCTGTCACCTCTCTCTCTTTTCTTTTCTGTCACTCTCTCTCTGTCACTCTCTCTCTCTCTTTTCTTTCTGTCACTCTCTCTCTCTCTTTTCTTTCTGTCACTCTCTCTCTTATCTCGCTCTCTCTTTTCTTTCTGTCACTCTGTTTCTTTCTGTCACTCTGTTTTCTTTCTGTCACTTTCTGTCACTCTGTTTTCTGTCACTCTGTCACTCTACTCTCTCTCTTTCTGTCTCTCTTTCTTCTCTTTCTCTCACTCTCTCTCTACTCTCTCTTCTCTTTCTTTCTGTCACTTCTCTCTCTCTCTCTTTTCGTCACTCTGTTTTCTTTCTGTCATCTGTTTTTCTTTCTGTCACTCTGTTTTCTTTCTGTCACTCTCTCTCTCTTTTCTTTCTGTCACTCTCTCTCTCTCTTTTCTTTCTGTCACTCTCTCTCTCTTTCTTTCTGTCACTCTCTCTCTCTCTTTTCTTTCTGTCACTCTCTCTCTCTCTTTTCTTTCTGTCACTCTCTCTTATCTCGCTCTCTCTTTTTCTTTCTGTCACTCTGTTTTCTTTCTGTCACTCTGTTTTCTTTCTGTCACTCTGTTTTCTTTCTGTCACTCTCTCTCTCTTTTCTTTCTGTCACTCTCTCTCTCTCTTTCTTTCTGTCACTCTCTCTCTCTCTCTTTCTTTTCTGTCACTCTCTCTCTCTTTCTTTCTGTCACTCTCTCTCTCTCTTTCTTCTGTCACACTCTCTCTGTTTTCTTTCTGTCACTCTCTGTTTTCTTTCTGTCACTCTCTCTGTTTTCTTTCTGTCACTCTCTCTCTCTCTCTCTCTCTCTCTCTCTCTCTCTCTCTCTCTCTCTCTCTCTCTCTCTCTCTCTCTCTCTCTCTCTCTCTCTCTCTCTCTCTGGATATAAATAGATATCAAAGTTCCCGTTTTCTCTATATACTTTATATATATATTTGATTAAATTTATCTAAACATCAAGTACAATTATCACTTTCTCCTAAATCTGACACACAACATTAATAAAAAAAAATAAAAAAAGACACAAAGATATAAAAACAAAGATGTAAAATCACAAACACGGGCACATACACAACGACAAAAAAATGAGAATGAAAAAAACAAACAAAAACAGAAAGAGGAAAAAAAGACGAAACGAGGATAAGAAAGAAAAAAGGACAAAACAAAAACATAAAAAACAAAACAAAACATGAGACACGAATTTAAGAAAAAAAAAGAAAGAAAAAAAAAAGACAAAACAAAAACATCAAAAAACGTGAGACGAGAAATAAAAAAAAAAAAAATGGCGGACACGAAAGGCTTCTTACTGCGTCCGGTTCGCTGCCGTGGGCGTGAGGGGCGTTGCGGGCGTGCCGGGGCTGGCGAAGGGCGGGATGTGGATCGTGATCATCGCGGGCGCCTCCACCTCCCCTTCCGCGCCTCCGAGACCGTCGTGGGCGTGGGCGTGGACGGGGTCGAGGGCGTGGGTGGCGACGTGGGTGGTCAGGTCGTGGGCGGCGTCGAACACCAGCGAGCACTTGGGGCACGCGTACTGGGCGCCGGGCACGTAGCCCAGCAGCGCCGCCTCCGAGGCCATGTTGGGCGACATGGCGGGCACGGGGATGACCAGGTCGGGCGGCAGCGGGAGGGCGTGGGCGTGAGGGTGGGCGTGGCGTGGGCGGGAGGAACCGTGCCCGTCATGAAGGCGTGTACGACCCGCGTGCCCGGAGACATCGCCGGCGGGGGGGGCGGGTGCCCGACCACGCCCGAGGGGAAGATCGTGCCCGGGTGCCCATACCCCGAGGGCAGGGGAGGTCCAGGTTGAGGGGAAGGGCGTCCGTGCCAGGGTAGGGGGGCCCGGGGTCCGTGGGGGGGTCGGTGGGGGAGGTCTCAGTGCCCAAGGGGTTGACGTAGATCAGCTGCCCGTCGCCTGCATAGGGGGGGGGGGAGAATGAGTTCGTATACGTCATCATACACATACACATTAAATATAAATAAATAAATAAATAAATAAATAAATATATATATATATATATATATATAATATATATATATATATATATATATATATATATATAATTATCCCTTCCTCTTTCTCTTTTAAGTCTCATTCCTTTTTTCTCTTTTAACTCTCCTTCCTCTTCTCTCCTTCCTCTTTCTCTTCTTCTCTCCCTTCCTATCTTTCTCTTCCTTCTCTCCCTTCCCCTCTTTCTCTTCCTTCTCTCCTTTCCCCTCTTTCTCTTCCTTCTCTCCCTTCCCCACTTTCTCTTAGAACTCTCCTTCTTTCCCACCCTTCCCCTCTTTCTCCTATAAGTCTCCTATCTTCTCTCCCTTCCTATCTTCCTCCTTTACCCCCCACTCGATTGCTTCCATAAATAATAAATCTGCATAAACTAGTGGTCTAACTACTTCCATGTAGTGCGTACTTGCCTTGCAGTTGTATGATTCTTGAGGCAGAACATGTGAACCAACGCAAGTATAATCACAATTTAAATAATGACGATGGTAGTAATAAAACCAATAATAATAATGATGACAATGATGGTGATGATGATGATTATGATGATGATTATGATGGTGATGATGACAATGATGATGATGATGGCGATGATGATGATGATGGCGATGATGATGATGATGGTGATGTTGATAATGATGACGATGAGGATAGTGATAATAACAGTAATAGTAATAATAATAATAATAATAATGACAACAATAATAATATCAACAACATTAATAATAATAAAACAACTACACTATTACTACAACTAAAAGTAAAATGTAAAGAAGAAATAACCCCATCAAAACCGACCGCTGGCTTCGTGGAGTCCGAACAAGTACGCATCAGTCATGTCAAAAAAGTTGAGATCAAAGACAACCTCTAAACTTACAACTACAACCATCACAACTATTAAAAAAGGAAAACACCAACAGGAAAGAGAAGAAATAACAAAATTCCCATCAAAGTCCCACCACTGGCTTTGTGGAGTCCGAATAAGTGTGCATCGATCATATAAAAAAAAAATCAAAATCGAAGACTGGCCATCTTTTCCTGCGATTACAGGAAACGTGTCATTTCTCGCGCGACAGGAATCGAGCAGGCAGTTAACATTTATCGAGTTGCCAGATGCATTCCTCCTACTTCAGTAATATAGTAATGTAGTAATATAGCAAGGCGTCAACCGCGGCCATTTCCATTACATCACAGAAATGGGCGGAGCTTAGAGGCCTGTCTTGCCTCTGATCACGTGACAGCTTTTGTTGTCGCGTCCCAGACACCCTAATTGCCACCGGAAAAGATTGCTTGGAGCCATCTTTTCCGGTGCTAAAACACAAATACAACCATTACAACTCCTAAGAAAGACAACACCAATGAGAGAGAAAACAACACAAATAACCATATTAAAACCGACCGCTGGCTTCGTGAAGTCCGAACATGTGCACATCGGCCATGTCCAACAAGTCGAGATCGAACACAGGCTCTAAACTTATAACTACAACCACTACAACTACTAAAAAAGAAAACACCAGTAAGGAAGAGAGAAAATAACAAAAATACTCTATGACTACAACTAAAAATAAAGAGTAAAGAAGAAATAACACCAAAAACGACCGCTGGCTTCGAGTCCGAACAAGTGCGTTGCGGCCATGTCCAAAAGGTCGAGATCAAAGACAGGCTCTCCTACTTAGCTCCTATTCCGCCACAAAACATACAACTACAACCATTGCAACTACTTAAAAAATAAATAAATAAATAAAAATAAAGAGAAAAAAGACAAAAACGACCGCTGGCTTCGTGGAGTCCGAACAAGTGCACATCGTCCATGTCCGAAAGGTCGAGATCGATGACAGACTATTTTAGCTCCTATTCCGCTACTAAACTTACAACTACAACCATTACAACAACTACTAATACAACTACGACGAAAACAAAATAAAATAAAAAAAAGAAAATAACAAAACCCCATCGAAACCGACCGCTGGCTTCGTGGAGTCCGAACAAGTGGGCGTCGCCCATGTCCGAAAGGTCGAGATCGATAACAGACTCTATATTTTAGCTCCTATTCCGCCACTAAACTTACAACTACAACCATTACAACAACTACAAATACAACTACAACTAAAAAAATAAAAAAGAGAGAGAAAAATACAAAACCCCATCGAAACCGTGGCTTCGTGGAGTCCGACAAGTGCCGTCGCCCATGTCCGAAAGGTCGAGATCGATGACAGACTCTATTTTAGCTCCTATTCCGCCACTAAACTTACAACTACAACCATAACAACTACAACCATTACAACAACTACTAATGCAACTACGGCAAAAAAAATAATAATAATAAAAAAAGAGAAAATAACAAAACCCCATCGAAACCGACCACTGGCTTCGTGGAGTCCGAACAAGTGCGCGTCGGCCATGTCCAAAAGATCCAGATCGGAAGGGAGAATCCGATCCTCCTTGACTGCTCTCCCGAACTCCGCCCACGCCAGTCGGCTCTCGTGGGCGCTGAGGGAGCGAGGTGCAAGGGGGCTCTCCCGGCGGCGTGGGCGTGGGGGCCGGGAGGGCGAGACCGCGGCGTTGTGGAGCTGGCGAAGGAATGGGCGTGGTCGAGGGGCTCTCTGGGGGCGTGTAGGCGTCTGAACTCCAAGCCAGGCTCTCGGTCTCGTTCTGCTGGCCTGCGGCGCTGGGCGTTGAGGGTCATTCTTCATGCACGAAGAAAATTAAATAAAAAATCATTAATAAAGAGATAGAGGACTAACATAATAAATAGAACCAACAGATGAAAAAAAAAAAATAATTAAATAAAAAAAATCATATAATAAAGAGTTAGAGAACTAAATAAATAGAACCAACATATATAAATAAAAAATAAAACATTCAAAAATAAATATAATAAAGAGATAGAGAACTAAATAAATAGAACCAACAGAATATAAAAAACAAAAAAAAAATAAAAATAAAATAATATAATAAAGAGATAGAGAACTAAATAAATAGAACCAACAGATATAAACAATAAAAATAAAAAGATAAAAAATAAATAATATAATAAAGAGATAGAGAACTAAATAAATAGAACCAACAGATAAAAAAAAAATAGAATAAAGAGATAGAGATAAATAAAATAGAACCAATACATAAAAAATAGAAATAAACAAATAATAAATCATATAATAAAGAGATAGAGGACAAAATAAATAGAGCCCATAAATAAAAAAGAAAAAGAAAACAATGATAAATCATATAATAAAGAGAAGGACTAAAATAAATGGAACCAACAAACAAAAAGAAACAGAAAACATCAAATAAAAAAGAAACAGAAAACAATAAATAAAAAAGAAACAGAAAACAATAAATAAAACAGAAATGGGAAACAATAAATAAAAAAGAAAAAGGAAACAACAAATGATAAATTATATAATAAAGAGATAGAGGTCTAAATATATAGAAGCATAAAAAACAATAAATAGTAAATCATAGTAAAGAGAGAGGACTAAAATAAAACCAATAAATAAAAAAAAGAAAAAGAAAACAATCGATAATAAATCATGTAATAAAGAGATAGAGGACTAAAATAAATAGAACCAATAAATAGAAAAAGAAAACAATAAATAATAAATCATATAATAGACAGATGACTAAATGAATAGAACCAATAAATAAAAAAGAAAAAGAAAACAATGATAAATCATATAATATAGAGATAGAGAACTAAATCGAACCAATAAATATAAAAAGAAAAAGAAAGCAATAAATAATACAATAAAGAGATAAAAGGACTAAATAAATAGACCCAGTAAAAAGAAAAAGAATAAATAAAAACAAATAAAAAATACAATAAATCACAAATTATAAAGAGATGAGTAACGAAATAAACAACAAATAAATCAAACAATATTCAAAATGATAAAGAGATGGATAACTAAACAGATAAATGAATAAGGATATGATAGATGAAAATGTGTACATTAAATGAGAGAGAGAGAGAGAGGGGAGAGAGAGAGAGGGAGAGGGAGAGAGAGAGAGAAGAGAAGAGAGAGAGAGAGAGAGAGAGGAGAGAGAGAGAGAGAGAGAGAAGAGGAGAGAGAGAGAGAAGAGAGAGAGAGAGAGAGAGAGAGAGAGAGAGAGAAAGAGAGAGAGAGAAAGAGAGAGATGAGAGAAGAGAGAGAGAGAGAGAGAGAGAGAGAGAGAGAGAGAGAGAGAAGAGAAGAAAAGAGAGAGAAAGAGAGAGAAAGAGAGAGAGAGGAGAGAAAGAGAGAGAAAAGAGAAAGAGAGAGAAAGAGAAAGAGAAAGAGAAAGAGAGAAGAGAAGAGAAAGAAGAAAGAGAAAGAGAAAGAGAAAGAGAGAGAGAGAGAGGAGAAGGAAGAGAGAGAGAGAGAGAGAGAGAGGAGAGAGAGAGGAGGAGAAGGGAGAGGGAGAGGGAGAGGGAAGAGGGAGAGGGAGAGGGAGGGACAAGAGAGAGAAGAGAGTGAGAGGAGAGAGACGAGAGAGAGAGAGAGAAGAGAAGAGAGAGAGAAGAGAGAGAAGAGAGAGAGTGAGAGAGTGAGATGAGAGAGAAGAGAGAGAGAGGAGAGAGAGAGAGAGAGGGAGAGAGAGGAGAGGAAGAGAGGAGAGAAGAGAGAGGAGGAGAGAGAGAGAAAAGAGAGAGAGGGGAGGGAGAGAGAGAGAGGAGGAGGGAGATGGAGGATGAGAGGAGAGAGGAAGGAGAGGGGGAGAGGAAGGGAAGAAGAGAGAAAGAGAGAGAGAGAGAGAGAGAGAGGAGGATGAGCAGAGACTAAGAGAGAGAGAGAGAGAGAGAGAAGAGAGAGATGAGAGAAAGAGGGAGGGATGCTGGAGGGAGTAGAAGGGAGAGGGAGAGGAGAGGGAGAGAGAGGGAGAGAGAGGGAGAGGAGAGGGTGAGCAGAGGAGAGAGAAGAGAAGAAGAAGAGAGAGAGCAGATAGAGAAGAGAGAGATGGGAGAGAGAGAGAGAGAAGGAGAGAGAGAGAGGAGAGAGAGAAGAGAGGAGAGGAAGAGAATAGAGAATATGAGAGACAGAGAGAGAGAGAACCAGAGAGGGAGAAAGAGACGAGAAGAGAAGAGAAGAAGAAGAGAGAGAGAGAATGAGAAGAGAAGAGAGAGAGAAGAAGACGGAAGACGAGAAGAAGAAGAGAAGAGAGGGAGAGAGAGGGGGGAGAGGAGGGAGAAAGAGAGAGAAAGAAGAGAAAGAGAGAGAAACAAGAGAGAGAGAGAGAGAAACAGAGAGAGAAAGAAGAAAACAAGAAGAGGAGAAGAGAAACAAGAGAGAGAGAGAGAGAGAGAAACAGAAGAGAGAAGAAGAAGAAACAGAGAGAGAGAGACGAGAGAGAAAACAGAGAGAGAGAGAGAGAAAACAGAGCAGAGAGAGAGAAAACAAGAGAGAGAGGAAAAAGAGAGAAAAACGAGAGAGAGAGAGAGAAAGAAACAGAAGAAAAAAAAGACGATAAGAAAAAGTGAGAGAGAGAAAAAAAGACGAAGAGAAAAGAAGATTTAAAGATAGAGAGAGAGAAAGAAAGAGAAGGGAGAAAGAAAGAGAACGAGGAAAGAGAGGGAGGAAGAGAAGAGAGAGAAGAGAAGAAAGGAAGAAAGAGAAGAGAGAGAGAAAGAAAGAGAAGAGCAGAATAAAAGAGAGAGAAAGAAAGAAAGAGAGACGGACAAACAGAAAAGAGAAAAGACACAGACAGAAAATAGCAAGAGCAACACACACACACACACCCCCCTCCCACACACACCCCACCCACCCCACCCACCAACCCCCCACCCATCCCACACACAAAAGACCCCACCAAACGCATCAACCACACCCACGACATGTCTCCTCACTTCATCAACAAGCAACAAGAAGCATCTCATTAATAAGCATGTCTTTTGCCAACAGTCAAGGAGGGACAAGAAAGATGCATTAGCTGGACCGAAGAATGAGGACTGAACGAAAGGGAAGTGAGATGGAGAGAGAGAGAATGGGAGAGATGGAGAGAGAGAGAATGGGAGAGATGGAGGAAAAGTGGAATGGGAGAAGGAGGTGGGAATGGGAGGAGAGAGAGAGAGAGATGGAGAGATGGAGAGAGAGAGAATGGGAGAGATGGGGAAGTGGGAATGGGAGGGATGGAGAGAGAGAGAATGAGAGAAAATGAGAGAGATGGAGATGGAGAGAGAGAAATGGGAGAGATGGAGAGAGAGGAGAAATGGGAGAGATGGAGAGAGAGAGAATGGGAGAGAGAATGGGGAGTGATGGGGAAGAGAATGGAGAGATGAGGAATTGGGAATGGGAGAAGGAAGTGAGATTGGAGAGAGAGAGAATAGAGAGAGAGGGAGAGTGAGAGAGCGAGAGAGAGAGGGAGAGCAGAGAGAAATGGGAGAGATGGAGAGAGAAAATGGGAAGAGATGAGAGAGAGAGAGAGATGGGAGAGAGGAGAGAGGAGAGAAGATGGGAGAGATGGAGAGAGAGAGAATGGGAGAGAATGGAGGAGAGAAAATGGGAGAGATGAGGAAGTGGGGGAGAGGGGAAGTGGAGAGAGAGAGAGAGAAAGGGAGAGATGGAGAGAGAGAGAGAATGGGAGAGATGGAGAGAGAGAGAGAGAGAAGAAGGGAAGAGATGGGAGAGATGGGGAAGTGGAATGGGAGAGGGAAGTGAGATGGAGAGAAGAGAGAATGGGGAGAGAGAGAGAGATGAGAGAGAGAGAGAGGAATGGAGAGAATGGGAATGGGAGAGGGAAGTGAGATGGAGAGAGAGAGAATGAGAGAGAGGGAGAGAGAGAGAGAATGGGAGAGATGGGGAAGTGGGAATGGGAGAGGGAAGTGAGATGGAGAGAGAGAGAATGGGAGAGATGGAGAGAGAGAATGAGAGAGAGATGAGAGAGATGGAGAGAGAAAATGGGAGAGATGGGGAAGTGGGAATGGGAGAGGGAAGTGAGATGGAGAGAGAGAGAATGAGAGAGAGGGGAGAGAGAGAGAATGGGAGAGATGAGGAAGTGGGAATGGGAGAGGGAAGTGAGATGGAGAGAGAGAGAATGGGAGAGATGGAGAGAGAGAATGAGAGAGATGGAGAGAGAATGAGAGAGATGGAGAGAGATGGAGAAATGGGAAAGTGGGAATGGGAGAGGGAATGGGAGAGATGACGAGAAGAGAGAATGGGAATGGGAGAGGGAGATGAGATGGAGAGAGAGAGAATGAGAGAGGAGGAGAGAGAGAATGAGAGAGAGAGAATGGGAGAGAAGGAAGTGGGAGGGAGAGAAAGAGAGGAGAGAGAGAATGAGAGAGATGGAGAGAGAATGAGAGGGAGAGAGAGAGAGAGAGAGAGAGAGAAGAGAGAGAGGAGAGAGAGAGAGAGAGAGAGAGAGAGAGAGAGAGAGAGAGAGAGAGAGAGAGAGAAGAGAGAGAGAGAGAGAGAGAGAGAAAATGAGAGAGATGGAGAGAGAAAATGGGAGAGATGGGGAAGTGGGAATGGGAGAGGGAAGTGAGATGGAGAGAGAGAGAATGAGAGAGATGGAGAGAGAGAGAATGGGAGAGAGATGGAGAGAGAGAGAGAGAGATGGAGAAGAGAGAGAAATGGGAGAGATGGGGAAGTGGGAATGGAAGAAGGAGGTGGGAATGGGAGAGGGACGTGGGAATAGAAAAGAAAATAAGAAAGAAGAGAAAGAGGGAATGAGAGGAGTTGAGAGAAGGAAATGGAAATGAGAGAAGAAACTGGGAATGAGAGAGGGAGATGAAAATGGGATGGAGAGAAGGAGATGAGAGAGATGAGGCAATGGAATGAGAAAAGGAAATAGGAATAAGAGAAGATGAGAGGTGAGGAAATGTGGATGAGAGAGAGAATGGGAGAAAATCCGAAAGAGAATGAGATGAGAGAAGGAAATGGGAAAAAGAGAGAGACAAAAAAATGCGAATGAGAATAAGATGAGAAGAAATAAAACAAAAGAATTGCAGAGAGAAGCAAATGGGAGAGAAAATGAGATGAGAGCAAATGAAATGACAGAATGGAATGAGAGATAAGGAGATGGGAAAGTAAACGAGAGAGAGAATAAAACGAGAGGGGATAAAAGAGTGAGAGAGAGAGAGAGAGAGAGAGAGAGAGGAGAGAGAGAGAGAGAGAGAGAGAGAGAGAGAGAGAGAGAGAGAGAGAGAGAGGAGAGAGAGGAGAGAGAGAGAGAGAGAGAGAATAAAATCGAGAAAAGACGAAAAAAACAGAAGATAGAAAACGAAAGAGAAGAAATACAGAAAATGGAAAAGAATTAAGAAAATGGAGGACGAGAAAGAGAGAACAGATAACGCATGAGAAAATCGGAAATGGAAAACGAGGGAAATAAAGAAGAATTGGAAAAAGATAGAAAAGTTAGAGGAGACACCAAATAACTCTTTATTTGAAGAACACAAGAAATGAAAAAATTAAATAAAAAATAAAATAAAAAACAACAAAGGAACAATAACCAGAAAACAAAGAAATAAGGAAACAGTATACAAAAGAAAAAGAAAAAGAGAATATTTTTTTTATTTCTATTACAGACAAGAAGGTAGACGAAGAAGAGGGAAAAAATGAACACAAAAACACACACAAGAGATCACATACACAGGGGAAAAAAAGAAAAGGAAAAAAAGAAAGACAAAAAAAATCTTTTCTGGTCTCCACTGTCTACCTTGACCTTGAAGATCTTATGAAAGGGGAATTAAAGGTCGTTTTCCTCTCTGTCTTTATCTGTCTCTATTTTTTCTCTCTCTCTCGGCCTATCTATCTATCTCTTTGTCTGTATGTGTATGTCTATGCCTGTCTGTCTCCTTCCCCCTCCTCTCTCTCACTCTTCCTGTCTATTTCTCTTCCTCTCTCCTCTTTATCCCTCTTCCTCTCTCCTCTCTATCCCTGTTCCTCTCTATCTCTCTTCCTCTCTCCTATCTCTCTCTTTTCCTCTTTCCTCTCACTTCTCCCTCTGCCTCCCCCCTCTCCTCTCTCTCCTCTCTATCTCTGTTCCTCTTTCCCCTCTCTTCTCCCTCTCCCTCTGCCTACCCCCTCCCAATCCCTCTGCTTCTTCTCTCCCCCTCTTTCCCTCCCTCTTTCTCTCTCCCTCTACCTCCCCCCTCTCTCTCTCCCTCTGCCTTCTTCCTCTCTCTTTTCACCCCTCTCTCTCCCCCTTCTCCCTCTTTCTCTCTCCCTCTCCCTCTCCCTCTCCCCCTCCCATCTCTCACCCTCTATCACTCTCTCCTCCACCCTCTCTCTCCCTCTGCCTTCCCCCTCCCTTCTCCCCCCCCCTTCCCCCCTCTCTCTCTCTCTCTTCCTCTTCCCCCTCCCATCTCTCTCTCCCCCTTCCCCCTCTCTCTCTTCCTCTTCCCCCTCCCATCTCTCCTCCCCCCTTCCCACCCTCTCTCTTCCTCTTCCCCCTCCCATCTCTCTCCCTCTATCACTCTCCTTCTCTCTCCCCTCTCCATCCCCCCCCTTCCTCCTCCCATCTCTCTCTTCCTCTTCCCCTCCCATCTCCCATCTCTCTTCCTCTCATCCCTCTTCCTCTCCCCCTCTCCCCCCTTCCCCCCTCTCCCCTTCCCTCTCCCTCCTCCCTCCCACCTCCCCTTTTTTTACATAACCTCTCACTTCCGGTTCTTCTTGATGGTGGTTTGGGCAGAAACACGCCCGAAATAAGCCTGTTCATTTATCCCCCCTCCCCCTCCCCCCCCGGGGTTATTATGAACACAATTGAGCCAAAAATAAAGGAGGGAAGGGTGGGAGGAGGAGGGGGGATGGGAAGGGGGGAAGGGAGGAGGAGGGGGGGAGGAGAGGAAGGGAGGAGGGGAGGGAGGGAGGGAGGGGAAGGGGGAAGGGAGGGAAGGGGGGGAGGGAGGGGAGGGGGGAAGGGGGGGAAGGGTGTCGGTTTTATCGGTACTTAAGAAATTGGTGAGAAGGGGGGAGGGGAGGGGGAGGGGGGAAGGTGAAAGAGGGGGTAAGGGAGGTGAAGGAGGGGGAAAGGGAGGTGAAGGAGGGGGAAAAGGGAGGTGAAAGAGGGGGGAGGGGAGGTGGAGGGGTGGAGGGGTGGAGGGGAAGGAGAATGGGAAGGGGAGGAATGGGAGGAGGGAGGAAGGGGAAGGGGAGGGGGAGGGGTGAGGGAAAGGTGGAGGAGGAAGGGAGGTGAAGGAGGGGGGAGGGGAAGGTGGAGAAGGAGAAGGTAAGGAAATGAGGATGAAGAGGGAGGGAAAGAGGAAGGTAGAGGAAGAAGGGAATGGAAGGAAGAGGAGGAGGAGAAGAAGATGGAGGAGGAGAAGAGGAAAGGAAAAGGAGGAGAAAGAAGAAGGAGGAGTAGGAGGAAGGAAGAGGATGAGGAGGAAGGGGGAATAGAGATGCTGATGATGGTGGATAAGGATAAAGATGAGGATGAGGTGGAGGAGGAGGAGGCAGGCAGTGATACTAACATACGGATAAAATAATATTGACAATAAACAAGAATAATAATGATAATGATTATAATGATGATAGTGATTATGATTATAATAGCGATGATGATAGTAATGATGATAACTGATGATAGTATTATAAATAATGATAGAATTAGTGACAGCAATAATAGCTGTGGAAGAAAAGACAAAGAAAAAAATAGAGAAAAAGTTGTAGCAGATGTAGCAACAGTAAAAATAATAACAATAATAATAAAATAAAATAGAAAAATCAATAAACGAAATAAATAAGTTCAAGAATAGATTAAATTCATAAACAAAATAAATCAGTTACAGTTGCAGAAACAGCAACAGTGCACCATAAGTCGGGTTGCAATCTCAATACCAAACCCGAACTTACCACCTCTCTATTATCATTTATCTTTTTTTCTCTCTCTCTATTATCATTTATCTTTTTTCTCTATTTCTCGAGTTTACAAAGTTCTACTCACTCTCACAGGAAGGTATATTCTTCACAGATCTGAGATAATTGTACAGGTAATGGCTGAACGCGAAAGGTTTCTCTTGGCTTTTCTCGCTCTCTTCCGCCGCATTCTCGCTTTGACCTCGATCGGGGTCAAATTCGCTCTTCGCGGGGTCAATTTCGCTCTTCGCGGGGTCAAATTCGCTCTTCACGGGGTCAATTTCGGTCAAGGGGTCAATTTTGGCCGATTTTGTGTTCCGTGGAGAGGGGGTTCCCGTGACGTCATCGCGGGCTTCGTCCTGATTGGCTGGCCCGTCTGGAGGAGCGCCGTCATTGGCTGGGATGTCTTGGGATGGAGGGCGCTGATTGGTCGGGGTGTCACTAGGTGGAGCGCGCTGATTGGCTGGTATTTCGCTGGGTGGAATGTGCTGATTGGCTGTTTCATCAGTTGGATTGTGTTGATTGGCTGTTCCATACGCTGAAATGTGCTGATTGGCTGAAACTTCATCAGATAAGCTGTGGTGATTGGCTGGAGTATCTTTAAATAGATCGTGTTGATTGGCTGAATCTACATGAGGTAAATCGTGTTGATTGGCCGCTTCATCAGGAGAACTGTGCTGATTGGCTGTTTCATATGCTGAACTACACTGATTGGCCGAGACTCCATCGGATGGGCTGTGCTGATTGGCTGAGCCTCCATACGGTGAATTGTGATTGGCTAAGCTTTCGTGGTGTGGACTCAGCTGATTGGGTAAGATCTCCTCCGGTGAATGGCGCGGAGGATTGGTCACCACAACACCCCGCGAACTCCAATCACTCCCCAGGACACTACCGGATACCCTGTGGTGATTGGACGCGGCATCGACAATCTCATTAGGAAAATAACCAATCACGTCTAGGGCAGGAAACTGGTGATTCGCCATTCCTTCCTGACCCGGGCTGTGGTACCCGGCCAGGTCACCACTCGCCCTGTGGTAACTCGCCACCGCAGTCCCACCGGGGATATAGTGACCCCCGGGGACGCTATTCGGGAAAGTGTGGTGACTGCTCGAAGCTGCTGCTGCTGCTCCTCCTGCCATGCCATGGTCGAGGGGCATGTGGTGATGAAGGTGATGCCCGAACGCCAGCTGCTCCGAGGGACCGGCCGCACTCACCACCACGCCCCCGAGCCATGTCGAGGTGGTGTTGGAGAGGGGGCGGCGGCGCAGGAGGTGGGGGAAGGTGAGGAGAGAAGGGGGAGTCGACCGGAAAGTGAGGAGGGGGAACCAGGTGGTGACCCAGATGCACGAATCGCGGGTGATGGTAGAGCACGTTGTCCAAGACCCCGTTGGGACGCGGGGTATCCGGCCAGGGGGAGTCCGGGGCCCCACGGGGGTAAGGGTGGGCGTGGGGATGGGCGTGGGGCGTCTGGTACAGCGGCTGGGGCGTGCTCGCAGCTCCTCCACCGTGGGCGTCGCCATCTGCAAGAGGATGAGGGTGATATATTACGATTAAATGGCCCTAAACAAGAGGGTTGGATTGGACTTGATGAAATAATGGAGACCGTTGCAACAGCACTGAATTTGGTTAGATGAGATAATTGATATCATGTCTCGTAGGATTCTGTAAATTGAATTCTGTAAATTAAATGTAAATTGTAAATTGTAAATTCAATTAAAATAAGGCTCGTGTCATTAAGTTGGATCACACCAAGTTGAATAAATACATCCGTTGAAATGTAACTGAATCAACTTAGAGAAAGCCGTCAGGAATTGAAGAAAACAAAGCCACAATTTACGTATTAGGGTTACAGTACTTGGAGAACACTCTCTACTGCCGCTTCTTTGGGTTAACTTTGAAAGTAACTTTACTCTCAGCTTCTTCAACTTTGAAAGTAACTTTACTCTCAACACCGCTTCTTTGGGTTAACTTTGAAAGTAACTTTACTCTCAACACCGCTTCTTTGGGTTAACTTTGAAAGTAACTTTACTCTTTCTAACTCTTTACTCTCACACCGCTTCTTTGGGTTAACTTTGAAGTAACTTTACTCTCACACCGCTTCTTTGGGTAACTTTGAAAGTAACTTTACTCTCAAGCTTCTTTGGTTAACTTGAAAGTAACTTTACTCTCTTCTTTGGGTAACTTTGAAAGTAAACTTTACTCTCAACACCGCTTCTTTGGGTTAACTTTGAAAGTAACTTTACTCTCAACACCGCTTCTTTGGGTTAACTTTGAAAGTAACTTTACTCTCAACCCGCTTCTTTGGGTTAACTTTGAAAGTAACTTTACTCTCAACACCGCTTCTTCGGGTTAACTTTGAAAGTAACTTTACTCTCAACACCGCTTCTTTGGGTAACTTTGAAAGTAACTTTACTCTCAACACCGCTTCTTTGGGTTAACTTTGAAAGTAACTTTACTCTCAACACCGCTTCTTTAGGTTAACTTTGAAAGTACTTTACTCTCACACCGCTTCTTTGGGTAAACTTTGAAAGTAACTGCTTCTACTTTGAAAGTAACTTTACTCTCAACACCGCTTCTTTAGGTTAACTTTGAAAGTAACTTTACTCTCAACACCGCTTCTTTGGTTAACTTTGAAAGTAACTTTACTCTCACACCGCTTCTTTAAACTTTGAAAAGTAACTTTACTCTCAACACCGCTTCTTCGGGTTAACTTTGAAAGTAACTTTACTCTCAACACCGCTTCTTTGGGATAACTTTGAAAGTAACTTTACTCCCCAAAACCGGCAATATTAACTTAAAATACAACCACATACCATTAGCAAAATGAACAGATCATATATGGAAAATTCGGAAAATAGTTTAGCATTGCCGTGACAACGAATATACATAATATATTTTGCCTATTTTTAAAAATAAACTTTCTCTCCATTATAATTTTTAAAATTAAACTTTCTTCTCTAAATATAACGAATGAAGATTTTTTTTTTTTTTTTTTTTTTTTACATTTTTTTGCATATATATTTTAATAAACTTAAACTCTAAATATAGGAAAACAACAGTGGATTCACAGATTAGTGACCAATACTCGAAAAAAAAACCGTGTTCATTGTACAGCCACGGACAAAAAAAAAAAAAAAAAAAAAAAAAAAAAAAAAAAAAAAAAAAAAAAAATAATAATAATAATAATAATAATAAATAATAAATAAATAAATAAATTGAGAATGAAAACTTTGAAACCCTCTAAACCTACATAACGAAAGACACATAAAAATTCGGTGTTTAAGACGAAATTCGAAACGTTTTTGACGAGAGAAATTTTGACCGTATAGCTAACCAAAGGTATATATAATAAATTCGGTATTTGAGACAGATTCGAAATGTTTTTGATAAAGAGAAATTTTGACCGTCGCTCTACAGTGACCCCAAGAAGTTCCTTGACCCCACGTGTTACTTATTTTACTTATTTGTTACTTGTGTTACTTATATGAAGATTTGGGCCAAGTGCAATAGTATGCTAACTAGCCCAAGACATGCAAATCTGGACCTTCTTGATGTCACGACAGACAGCATAATAGCACGCAATACTATGTAAAAAAAAAAAAAAAAAAAAATGAAAAAATGTTAAAACAGAAAACAGGAGTAAAGAAAAAAAGTAAAGAAGAAAAAAGAAAAAAAGGAAAAAAGAAAAGGAAAGGAAAAAAAGAAAGAAAAGGAAAAAAAAGAAAAGAAGAAAAAAAGAAATAAGCAAAAGAAAGAGAAAAAGGAGAGAAAAAAGAAAACAAAGAAGAAAAGAAAAAAGAAAACAAAAAAAAAAAAACAGAAAGAAGAAAAAGAAAAGAAAAGAGAAAAAGAAAAAAAAAAAAAAACAAAAAAGAAAGAAAGAAAGAAAAAAGAAAAAACAAGAAAAGAAAGAAAAAAAATGCAGACCTCACCAAAACCGCCTCTGATGCACGCAATACACAACATAGCACTTTACTTCAAGAATCTATTGCGAACGGAATAGATTTCATACTATCAGAT